CTCTGCCATTTTCTTTTTTTTTTTACTTTAAGAGCCAAACCTGAATTTCTTGATAGCTATACAAATTTAAAATAGACACACAATCCTGATTTTAATAAATGCTTGTATACTAGGGATTAACATCGTCCTCATTTAAGTTGGACAACATCCTTACCAAACGGGTAAAAGAAGTAATAATCAGCCTTTACAATATTGAGAGACCCAGTTCACAATAGAAGTGAAAACAGTAGATCCTTTGTGTCTGTATTGTGCTTATTTTCAGGTTTCTAATTGTATGTTGTGCCTCCAGAGTTCAGGAAGAAACGGTTTGATCAAATGGTCTCAGTTAGTGGGTAAACACTTTAGTAATCAAAGGGTACTAACTAATGTGGATGTATTTCTCATTGATAGATGTGAAGTGTACCCACTCCACTCAACCTTGTCCAATGAGGAGCAGCAGGCAGTTTTCCGCCGACCCCCAGAGGGAGTCACGAAAATTATCATCTCCACCAACATCGCTGAGACCTCGGTAACCATTGACGACGTGGTATATGTCATCGACTCCGGCAAGATGAAGGAGAAGAGGTAACGGCCTCAAGTTTGGCTAAAGTGAATAGACATCAGTTTACCTCTTTAGATGAACTGTATGTAAATGTTTTTACATTCTGTCTTTAGATGTGATCTGATGTGGATCGAGTATTGTAGAATTTTCTCATTTCTGTTTTTAATTTTTTTCAGATACGATGCCACTAAAAGCATGGAGAGCCTGGAGGACTCGTGGGTGTCTCGGGCCAACGCTCTGCAGAGGAAGGGTCGAGCGGGGCGCGTGGCCTCGGGGGTCTGCTTCCACCTCTTCACCAGCCACTGCTTCCAACACCAGCTGGCAGAGCAGCAGCTGCCTGAGATCCAGAGAGTGCCTCTAGAGCAGCTCTGCCTCCGGTACATCCATCTGTTTGCTCTTTGCACAATGCCAACCTCCTCTGTAAATGCTAATTAAAAATGGCCTTCACAAAAGAGAGGGGGTCTTCTATCCAGAGAGGCCTTACCTCCAGCACAATGTCAGATTTTAGAATATTAAAAACATGAATTCCCCATACTAGTATTTACCATTCCCCCTTCTTAACAGAATCAAAATCCTGGACTTGTTTGCTGATCGGATGCTGGAGTCCGTCTTCACTCGGCTCATCGAGCCCCCGGCTATGGAGAGCTTAGACGCAGCCAAGCAGCGCCTGCGGGACCTCGGGGCCCTCACTGACGATGAGAAACTGACCCCGCTGGGCTACCACCTGGCCTGCCTGCCCGTCGACGTGCGCATCGGGAAACTCATGCTGTTCGGCGCCATCTTCCGCTGCCTCGACCCTGCACTCACTATCGCTGCCAGTCTGGCCTTCAAATCGCCCTTTGTAAGAAACTGCTTGCATCATAATTCAGATTTATTATCCATAACTAACTACTTGATTTTTGTGACACCTTATGTTTCTAATTAAAAATACTTTCTCTATCTGGTCCTGTGTCTGTGTTCCAGGTGTCTCCATGGGATAAGCGAGAAGAAGCCAATGAGAAGAAAGTGGCCTTTGCCGTGGCGAGTAGTGACCATCTAGCTCTGGTACAGGCATACAAGGTACTGACTCCTAGCAGAATGACAGAATAATGTTGTGTTAAGCAAAGTGCATCCATACAAATGTATTAGTGACAAGTTTAAGAGAGGGCGAAAGACTATAATTGAATGGAATCGGTGTCAAAAGTATCAGAATTGGACATGAAAAAGATCGAGCCATCCCTTTATCCGAGCTTCTATAAATGATATAATGATTGATGTGATGGACTACCCTTCTCTTGCAGGGATGGTGCTGCGCAGCTAAGAATGGCCACCAGGCCGGCTTCCTCTACTGCAGGGAGAACTTCCTGTCTTCACGAGGCCTACAGGTGAGGCAGTGCTGTCCAAAGCGCCTCTTCTACAATCGTAACTTCCCCAAATCATACATTTCTTAAAAACATGTCTGTTATGACCTGTGCAGGAGATCGCCAGTCTGAAGAGGCAGTTTGCTGAGCTGCTGTCTGACATCGGCTTCATCAAGGAGGGACTGAGGGCCAGGGTTATCGAGCGCATGAGCTCTAAGGGCACTGATGGCGTTCTGGAGGCCACCGGCCACGAGGTAACACACAGGGTTTTATGTGTTGTTCAAATAAACATTAAAATATCATTGCAGAATTTAAAATAGAATAGGACAACATATTTCTTTTTAATCTGCCTTTAAGCAAACATATACTATGTATTACTCCACAATCGTAGTCTTAAAGAGAATGTAATAAATGTATAACGGTATATATCATTCCTTTTCAGGCTAACTTGAACTCGGACAACATCAAGCTGATGTCCGCCATGCTCTGTGCTGCGCTCTATCCCAATGTGGTCCAGGTCTGTATTCATTCTGTCCTTTGGAATAACAATCTGAGGAAAGTGTTGAACATTACAAAACGATCCCCTTCCTATTATACACACTTGGTTTCACACTCTTTAACTCTTTGTTGCAGGTACGATCTCCTCAGGGGAGTTACAAGATGACGAGCAAAGGAGCGATGATGATGCAGCCCAAAGCCCACGAGCTCCGCTTCATGACGAAGAACGACGGCGCCGTCCACATCCACCCGTCGTCTGTCAACTACGCAGTGAGATGAAAAGAAACGACGTATAGTATTCAGCAGCTAGGTAGAGTGGCCGGCCTGTTGAAACCCTTCTTTGTGCCGCAGGTTCGCCACTACAACAGCCCGTACCTGGTTTACCACGAGAAGGTGAAGACAAGCCGAGTCTTCATCAGGGACTGCAGCATGGTGTCTGTGTACCCGCTGGTGCTGTTCGGAGGCGGGCAGGTCCACATGGAGCTGCACAAGGGAGAGTTTGTCATCTCCCTCGACGACGGGTGGATCCGATTTGCCGCCTCTTCTCATCAGGTCAGGAAGAACAGTAAACAGATGTAATAGTTTAGGTTAATATGCACAAATAATTACATTTTTTATTTTTATAGCGCTTTTCAAGAGACCCAAGGACGCTTTACAATGGGAAACAAAACAACAACATAATAATAGTCACAAGGATACACAGGTTACAAAGCTCTTTCTTTGCACATATCCTCAAAAGTGACATTGTAATCATCTTTGTTATTTGGAATTGAATAGCAAAGTGACATTTTGAGGACAATGGTGAAAACAATGCACTAATCAATATGTTGTCACATGAAATAGTAATAATAAGCATAATATTAATATTATCTGTTTTCATAGGGTAGAACAGAGATGTGAAATTGAAAAAAAAGACATTACAAACACATAAGTTAAATTACGATATGTTTTTATTAATGATGAATAATGTAAATGGTAACTTGATGTAACTCTAACTCAGCCAATTAAAATGGCCCAAACTTCAGAAACGTTATTTAATATGCCTTAAATATGTAAGAGGGCTTTACAAGGAGTATAAAGAAAGCAATGCGCTATGTTATCTCATACAATTGTATTAATAAGCATTATAAAAAAAGTATTTGTGTAATGTTACATTTTCTGTATTTATAGTGATAAAAAGAGGTAAAGTTGAAATAAACAGATATATATGAGTTAAATTATGATAAATAAATGCATGAGCAATATACAAATTAATAACTGGAAGTAACTCCAGTTCTCTGCGCTTTACGGTCCTCTCTATTGGTTTAACTTTAAATAAACTTCACACCGGCACCTGATGAAGTGCGCCCCAGGGGCCTCATTTATAACGCCGTGCGTAGGATTCACGTGGGAAGGTTGCTTACGTAGTAAAAAAAAAAAAAAATAGGTACAGAAATGTTCCGATTCACAAAACATTGCGTACCGGTGAGGAAAGTGCGTACGGCACTTCCTACGCCGGTTTCCCTTTATATATCACAATCGACCCGAAATGCGAGTGTCGCAGAAGCTAACTTCCCCCATGTGTGTTGCGCAGGTGGCTGAGCTGGTGAAGGAGCTGCGCTGGGAGCTAGACCAGCTACTGGAGGACAAGATCAGGAGCCCCAGCATGGACCTGTGCACGTGTCCCCGCGGCTCCCGCATCATCGGCATGATCGTCCAGCTCGTCACCACACAGTAGCTCCACCTTTCAATGACCTCAACGTACGAAGCTCTTCAGTATAACGGTCTTTGTGCTCCTGCATCACTCCCACCAATTTGAAACACCATCCATTAAGGATGTCGGGTCAATAAAACCCTGACACTGGTTAACTTTTTTTTGTATTCATCACACACGGATCAGCAATGCTTATGCTGAACTTGACTTGTTATTGAAGTACTTCTAAGTATCAGTTTACATGAAAACAAAGCTGTTGTGTTGCTGCAATGGAGGCTTTTTGAACCATAAATTGCCTTTTAAAGAAAAATATGGCTCTATGCAGATGATCCACAAACCTCCACAACAAATCATTATTGCTTGGATAAAGCCCTTACTGCGGTATGTGCAGTAGATCGGCACACGGTTGATTGATAAACATGATGTCAGATATAATTTGTGTACAGCGCATTTTTATTTTGGGGTTGTGTGTGTCTCGCTCACAACTGACAAGTTTCTTGGGTCCATATTGGATTTCTTATAATCACAATGACTGCATACTTGTTATGGTAATAATATTTATTTGTATTGCATGATTGAGAGAATCCAAGATCTTCTGCATGGTATTCCACTGGTTTACATTCACTGAATGTACCTAGATGTTACAGTGATGTCAAAACTACACTTTCACAAAGTGAATGCAAGGGCTTTTAAAAACAGAAACCTTTGGTGAGGATATCCAAAGAATTTGAAAGCCTATTATCTAAAGTGACAAATTCAACTATCACAATTAAAAACATTCAAAGATAGCTGTCTGTGGGCTCTTATTGAACAAATGATTTCCCCAGCATTTAGCTTTTGTCTTCTGCACTAATCTATGGTTAGCTTGGTGTTGTTTTTTAGCCTAGCGGTAACTTGGATGCAACTAAAGAATTTACAACCTTGTTGAAGCCAACCCCTACATTCATCAGTGATTCTGATCCGTCTCTACGACAACAAGGCATACACAAATAGGGTCTCATTGTCCCAGTTGAAGCCATTCAGATGCCACTTACAGCCGTGCCGAGTCCAGAACTGGTAAGGTATACGCTTATTTATTTAACTTGACAATTTCAAGCATTGAAGCGAGATAGCGATTAAATCATCTTGTCTATCTGAAAGAAAAATGATCAACTATTAATTGTTGCATTCCTCTGTATGCATGTCATTTTACAGATGGGTGAATAATCTCTCACCACATTTGAAGTGACCTTGACTTCTTTTACCATGGTAAAGAAAATGCAATATTTACTTGTGATTTTAAACTATTCAATAAAGTAAGTACAGGAACCAGTTTTTAGTAAACCGACACTTGTATCTTTTATCAAGCCAACCAAATCCAGGTCTCAAAGTTCTCGGCCTGCCAAGAAAACTAGGGGTCCAAAAACACCCAAAAAGAGGTCGCCCAGTGCCAAATCCACCAAGACAGAGGTGGACCTCCTCAGCCCAGCAGCCATGGAGAACGTCTACTACATTTCCCACAATGCAATGGACTGTCTGCACTTCAGAGGCTTTGGATGGCCAAATTCAAATAAGAAGAGAACAAAGCGCAAGAAGAAAAAGTAAATTATTATATATTCTTTTGCCAAATATAATGAATATTCTAAATATTTGCCTAAAATGTGTAACATTAATGGTGCCATCTTGTGTACACTTTTATTGACAACCCATGTGTACCAGGTACTTGGTGCTAGAACCAGTGCAAAGCAGATTTAAAAATGTATGTATTGTCTTTTTCCAAAAAACAGAAATGTGCCAATCGAACTTTACTTCATTCACGAGGCAAACACTTCTTAACAGCAACTTTATTGTAAGCTGAATAATTCAGATTCACGAATGTCAAGATTTGGCAGTTCTTTTTTACACCAGAAGCTTGTCAAGGAAAACCTTTTGATTATGTGGAATACAACAGAAGAGAACAACTGAATGCTTTATTACAATTCCCTTTAAAGAACATTGTGTACACCTAATGTGAATATAATGAATGTTATGTGCAAGTTATCACACCAGAGTGCATCATAGAAAAGGCAACAGTGCCATACTGGACCCAAAGTGTTCCCACCAGTCAGTTGTTATATTCTTTAAATCCAGTTTTTGTACAATTTCTTATAAAAATAGGCTACAATGAGAACATGCCTATAAAACTAAGGTTAGAAATAAGTGTGGTTCCAGGCACTGTTAATATTCTCATATACATTTTACATTATCAAATGTACTCATTGTAACATAGCCATGTCAAATAAATAGTTTCTCTCCAGGGTTGCATCTGCTTGCTTTGCATCATGGTCCGGATGCTCACTCTGGGGGCTTCTTCTTGGCCTCCACGTCTTTCTTAAAAGCCTCAATTTTCTTGGCTATGTTGGGGACCTAGAAAGGAACAAGCAGTAAGGTCAATCCAATCTAATGCACATATTTAGATGTCAGTGATTTAGGTACACCTTGCCAAATTTGAAGGTAATAGTGGTCAGTTATTATTATATAGAAAGATGTTTCTAATTATGTGTGTCCTATATGAGGATGACCATACTTTTGGTCAAAGTTAAATCAACATATCTAAAACAGCATCAACATAACTCAAAATGGTTACCTTTTATAAAACTAAGATGTATTGCAGGACTGACTTGGTATCAACTAGTTTTAAATTACCAATTAAAATGACGACCTTCTGCAGCACCTGTCCGACTACCTGGCTTTGTCCGGTAGAGGGGGGTCAGTGTGACAAGCAGATTACTTCACTTACTCAAAATAGGTAAATACGCTCAGTGTTTCCCACAGATTTGAAATATACTTGGGGGAGTGGTGGTAGCAGAGGGGGGGGGGGGGGGGGGGGGGGGGGGGGGGGGGGTTGTTGAGGTGATGTGCATAACATTAACCTTTCTGTTGGTCGCTTGTTAGCAGACTCTTCACACGATGGCAGAGCGAACAGGTACAGGCAGGGCCCATAGTGATAGCCCTATAGTTTAAATCTACTACCCACAAATAAACATATGGCCGTGGGTTACTATTTTTAAAAAAAAGGTAAATGTATTTAGGAACCTATCCATGTGATTTTAAGTGGGGGTGGACCTCAAATCCTCTAGGGGGGTCCGGGGGCATGCTCCCCCGGTAAGATTTGTTAAATGCATCAATCTGGTGCACTTTGAGGGGCAAATAAAGAGACTAGATATATGGGAACACCTATATGAAACAGAACTGTATACAATTCAATAATCATAAAATCAGGGCCATAACCAATAACATATCCAATATGAAAAAACACTGACACCCTCAAATGGAAATATGTGTTTACATAAATGGTGACCAAACCGTTTGAGACCCACTGTGAACTTAGACTAAGTTAACTATCTAAACACTCCTTTACCTCACCTGAGCTGAGGTTATCCCGAGCCTGAATGACACACAGAGACCAATCAAGGGCTTTGATTTATGATCTGTATGACAGTGGCCATGTCGGCAGGCCACATCATGTAGACAGCCAGTCACCCTGTGTGAGGCAGACCACATCATGTAGACAGCCAGTCACCCTGTGTGAGGCAGACCACATCATGTAGACAGCCAGTCACCCTGTGTGAGGCAGACCACATCATGTAGACAGCCAGTCACCTGTGTGAGGCAGACCACATCATGTAGACAGCCAGTCACCCTGTGTGAGGCAGACCACATCATGTAGACAGCCAGTCACCCTGTGTGAGGCAGGCCACATCATGTAGACAGCCAGTCACCCTGTGTGAGGCAGACCACATCATGTAGACAGCCAGTCACCCTGTGTGAGGCAGACCACATCATGTAGACAGCCAGTCACCCTGTGTGAGGCAGACCACATCATGTAGACAGCCAGTCACCCTGTGTGAGGCAGACCACATCATGTAGACAGCCAGTCACCCTGTGTGAGGCAGACCACATCATGTGGACAGCCAGTCACCCTGTGTGAGGCAGACCACATCATGTAGACAGCCAGTCACCCTGTGTGAGGCAGACCACTTAACAGGCCAGGCCATCGGGAAACCCCCCGGTCCTCCTGATGGCCAGTACGGGACTGGGTACAGGAGGCGTAGAGCGAGGGATCATTGTCCACAAGTTAATCGATCGCAGATGGCGTCGTGGTCACGGACGAATACAATAAATAAATACAATTATTAACTAAATGGGTCGCGAAATATACTTGGGCGGCCGTTAATATACCTGGGCGGCCCGCACAAGTATAGTCTATGTGTCGGAAACCGTCGCTAAAAAACTTACATCATAGTTTTGAGCCAGGTACATCCCGACGACATTTCCCAAGGTAAAGCCAGCCTGAAAGACAAGGAGCAAAAGTCATGTGAGGCCAACATGTCCGACTTACTGATAAAGTAGCATTTCATGATTACAGATTGAGGTCAATTAAAGTGACTGACTTGTATTGCACGTTTAACTAAACTGATGGTAAATGACGCCTATTTTTCATTTGTCACTATTCACAAACGTTACAGTAGAGAGGTGTTCATTACAACTGTCAAGAGTTTTGACAGCAAGTTATGCTATCACGTTAGCTTGCCTAGTTTCGCGTCCTTGTAAATGTTAATGACTGTCATGCATTACAACGTTAGTTAAACTCACCAGGAACTGTAGCATGTTGGAATAACGAAGGTTTGGCAGCAGTAGAACGAAATACTGACTCAAAAGAAGGCAGTGAGTTACAATTTAGACGGACGAAATCATCCAATCTACTTGGCTAACGAAGATAGCCCGTTATAAACAAGACGTGTACGCATGCGCGAAAAAATAAACTATCGCGTTATTTTTACAGCGAACAAGTGCTGTAGTCTTTTCCTCGGTCTGAGCTGTAGCTCGTGCCTATTAAAGAACTACAACTCCCAACAGCTATATTCCAGTGGGTGTTGCTGCAATGGTGGTGTCAGTGGGACATTGAATGACTTTGGCTCCATCACGAAATTAGCTAGGTTTATTAATTGTACTCATAAACCTCGAGCATGGAGGCTCTTATTCCCGTAATAAACAAGCTGCAAGATGTTTTCAACACAGTGGGGGCGGATATCATACAGCTGCCGCAGATAGCAGTTGTAGGGACTCAGGTAAAAATGACTGTGTGCATGCTAGCAAGAGAACCATGCTATACCATAATGCATGCACAGTTAAATATAACATTATTACAAGAGATATTGTAATTTTTAGAGCAATAGTTAACAGAGCAGTAAATATATTGAGGCCTTTGTCGACATATGCATGATGACTGTATTTATTCATTTGCAAAGTGTGCACTGGCAGAAATCTATTTTAATCATATTTAATCAGTGCTATTTTTAGAGCCTCATCCACAACCCTGTTAGCCAACACCAGGTTATTATCTGTATTAAAAACAGGTGCATTTAGGTGTTGTGGCTGTAGCCCTTGTATCATGGGTTAAATGCAGAGAACAAATGTCACTGTGTGTGCTGTGTGCTCTGCATGTGTGACTATTAAAGAGGGTTTCATCCCTCCAATTCTATCTATTCTATATCAGGGCTATAGTGGTGTGTTAAATCTGAAGGAGAAGTTGTCATTGGTTCATTATTCATCTAACCTGTGTGTATCTGTTTTCTGTCTACAGAGCAGTGGTAAGAGCTCGGTGCTGGAGAGCCTGGTGGGCCGGGACCTTCTTCCTCGGGGGACCGGCGTCGTCACCAGGCGGCCTCTCATCCTCCAACTGGTCCATGTAGAACCTGGAGATGCCAGGAAACATGAAGATGGCGGTAAGCCCTGAAATCCCTCTGTCAGCAGTGTCTTAGACCAAGGACCATAGTCACACATTGTCTTTTGATTTTGCTTCCAGGAACAAGCCATTTGGTTTTTTTGTGTCAAGTTTGTTTAAGTTATATCATTTGCAGGTTTTAAAGTTCTGTTTTTGTGATTTGTGTTTCTTATCATTTGCAGATGCCAGAGAGTGAAAAAAAGCACTGTGCCTTTACAAAGGTGCATTGTACAGGTTTATTCCAAATAACCTGGATTAGCTTCTTAGTGCCGCCCCCTCCTTTTCTAAGCTACAGTTGTATTTCCAGCTGCTTTAGTCACCAACCTAATCACTGTAAGGTGTCCATTGCTTCTGTTAGCCGTGCTTTCTTAGCCTTAGTAGTTGTCTTTGGTGTTGTTATAGCGAAGAGAATTCTACGCTACAACTGTAACACATACGGTGTTATTCTCTCATAGGTAGAGAAGGTGAAGAGTGGGGCAAATTTCTGCACACAAAAAATCAGGTATGTATTTTTATGATGCACAATATTTAATAAGTTCTCTTTACCTTTGGTTCTATTTATGCATTTTACTTTATTTTTTTCCTTTTGCAGATCTTCACAGATTTTGATGAAATCAGGCAAGAAATAGAAAATGAGACGGAGCGGATATCGGGGACTAATAAGGTGAGAAGGCTTTACATCTATACTGTTAAATAAGGAACCCGAAATGTTGGTGTCTCAACCGCAGTCAGTACTGTTGATGGGGAAACAAATGTATTACACATGTAACCTACATATACATCAAGCATGAGGTATATGTCACTTTCACCCTGCAATAAGGAGCAGCGCCTATTGAGGGCAGTGCTGGGGCTGCAGAGGGAAATCAGTCTGCCTTTCATGGGTAGAGGAAGAGAGAGGGGGGGGGGGCTATGGTGATGATTAGGGTGAATGAGTGGCAGCTGGGCTGTGAGAATGGAAGCGGTGTCTGGATTTGTTTGTGGATGGTGGATGTTCCTAAAAAGAAGCTAACCAAAGACGCTACAAAGGAGAGGAGAACGTTTGGAGCTGGAGATTTTTCCTCTCTCCATTATTATCTATAAACAATGTGTCTTAAAGTTAGTTCAGTTTGCATATAAGGCTCATTCATGGATGTTGAGTCCTGTACATTTAAGAAAACAAAAACAGTGATTGTTTTCAGTACAAAACAAGGCCCTTATTATATAACAGGTATCATATAACAGTAGGAAAAATAAATTGGGTTGCTCAACTTCTATATATCGTGGATACCTAAAGATGAAAATATGAATAAATGAAACCTCTCGATGCTATCATCAGATTTGACCCAAAATGGCCAAGTCTGCCAAAAAGCATTTAAAAAATCTTTTGACATGCCCTGTGATGGAGCTTTTAAACACTCAGAACACGTCTTCTCTTCCTGTCCCTCTGCAGGGGATCAGCGATGATCCCATTCATCTGAAGATATTCTCTCCTCACGTTGTCAACCTCACGCTGGTGGATCTGCCTGGCATCACTAAGGTAACGCATGCTG